GGGCCGCTCCCTCTGAAAGCCCCCGGCCGTTCACCCCGTTCGCCTCGCTGTTCGGGCTCCGTTGCGCTTGCGCTGCGGCTTCTGCCGGTCTTAGCTCTCCATAACCTGGTGCGGTTGCACTTCCTAGCCAGGGTGAGGTCCGCGGGGGGTTTACAAGCCCCCTCACCTTCCCCAAGAGGCACAGTGACAACGCACGCCGCTCCTTGGGGACAATGTCCTAAGCAACGCTCCCGGTGCTGGGCAGCGACTGGGTCACTGCAGGACCGCAGCTTCCCAGGGGACGATGTGAAGCACCATGCTCCCGGACCCACACCCGGAGCCAGCCCAGCGAGCCCACCCTGCCCAGAGCTCTCCTGTCACCTCCTCTGTGCCGTGGGGCCGGGGGACAAGGTGGCCGGGGACTGGGGAAAGGGTCCTGATGCGCTTCCAGCTTCAGAGCAGCTCCAGCCCGGCCATCGCTGGAGCCAGGCAAGGGGGGACACAACCTGGGAAACTGGTAGGGAGCAGACAGGGCTGTGAGATCCAGGGGGAGATGGCAATGTGCCTCAGGTCTGAGGGCAGCCCCACGCCAGCCCCACCAGGCTCCAGCCCCACCAGGCTCCAGCACCACTCCACAAAGCCCTGCTGCCACCCCGTGGCACCCCAAGTGGGAGGCCACAAGGGCTGGGCACGGCCAGTGTGGCTGTCCCCTGGGGTCGCCACCTTCCTTCCGCCCTGCCTAGAGCCAAACCCGGCTCCCCAGACCCACCTCCCCCCGGCTGGAGGAAGAGCTGCCCAGCTCATCCTCCCCAGCCCCTGTCAGCCTGAACCTTGCCAGCCTCACAGGGCTGCCCAGGCTGCAGCTTTGCCGGACCATTCTGCAGGGGAGGAAGGCACACCAGGGAGATCCCAGCTCAGCCCATGCCTCTCCCAGCATGGCCAGTATGAAACCACCCTCCGGGGCTTGGAGGTCCATGCCCAGAAGGCCTAAACCCGAGCGCCCCGTGGAGCCAAGCACTGGGCTGCCGGGACAGCCGCACCTCTTGCCCGCAGACCTGACCCAAGGTCCATCTCCTGCCCGGTCTCTGCGATCAAATGAGCCTGGAGGATGACGATCAGGTAACTGAAGCTCTTTGGACGTTCACCAGGGATGGGCGAAAGCCACTGTCAGCTCCCTCCTCCGCCCAAGGACGTGAACCAGCTGCTCCATCTCCCCAAGAGGAGGGTCTAACCCCCAGGCCAGGGGCTGCAGCGCTCTCAGCTCTTCCCACAATAGGCGATCTGCGCCGGGGGTGTGTGCGGGAGCCCCGAGCCCACCACCAACTTAGAATCATAGAATCATAGAAAGTTTGGGGTCGGAAGGGACCCCTAGAGGTCATCTAGTCCAACCCCCCCGCAGCGAGCAGGGACACCGCTAACCAGATGATCAGGTTGCTCAGAGCCCTGTCCAACCTGGTCTTGAATGTTTCCAGGGATGGGGCCTCCACTACCTCTCTGGGCAACCCGTTCCAGTGTTTCACCACCCTCATTGTAAAGAATTTCTTCCTTATATCCAGCCTAAACCTACCCTGTTTTAGTTTAAAACCATTACCCCTCGTGCTGTCACTGCTGTCTCTACTAAAAAGATTGTCCCCATCTTTCCTATAGGCTCCCTTTAAGTACTGAAAGGCTGCAATCAGGTCTCCCCGCAGCCTTCTCTTCTCCAGGCTGAACAAGCCCAACTCTCTCAGCCTGTCCTCGTAGGAGAGGTGCTCCAGCCCTCGGATCATTTTTGTAGCCCTCCTTTGGACCCGCTCCAACAGTTCCATGTCCTTCTTGTGCTGAGGGCTCCAGAGCTGAACGCAGGACTCCAGGTGAGGTCTCACCAGAGCAGAGGGGCAACTTGACTCGGTCCTGGTGCGCACCGAGCAAATACTCTTGACTTCAGCGTCACGTCTGCAAGTCCCCGAGAGAAATGCGTTGAAGACGTCTTTCCCCGCAGCGTTCCAGCTCGACTAAGGCCGCAGCCCCCCCGCAGCCCCCCTGTGCTGACTGCCGTCTGCTCCCTACGCCGCAGCAGGCCGTGCTCTGGCTGACCTGCAGCGCTCGGGACGCTTCTTCAGGGCCAGCTCGACGAACCGGAGCGGGACGGAGAGCACGTCGCCGCGCGCTCCCGACGGCATTGCTGCCCAACAGCGACGCGCTCCCTTCGCCACAGCCGCTTTCGTCCCGGATCAAACGCAGTTTTCGGGCTCTACTGGTTTTCCACTGTTTGTCTACAGAAAACAAAAATTGGGCTTTCCAGCTACGGGGAAAAAAAATATAAATGCTTATCTCACAGGGCTACTGACCTAGGACTCTGCCCTCAGACGAGGCACCTTTGTGACTGGTGGCCAAATTAAGTGAGAGCCATCAGCTCACCTCGCTCAGCCCGCTCTGGGGGCCAGCAACGCCCGACCGAAGGTCCTTGGAGCCCGGACCCGCAGCCCTCGCAGGACCCCCGGGCAGGCCCAGGGCACCGTGACCTCCAGATGGCTACCTCCACAAGAACACTTCACACCACCTTACCTACTCCACGCAGCCCCCAGACGTAAGCCACAACATCTGCTTGTTCCTACAGCGAAGGACGCCTCAAATGCAGCCGGGGCAGGACCGCCCTTTCGAGACAGGGATTTGGCACACGGAGGGATGACGTGTCGTAGGCTCCGGATGGTTGGGCAGGCTGGGGGCCGCGCGTGGAACCCCTCACCACGCCGCCCGCTCCCCGCAGCGGGTGAAACTCGTGACTGAGCACGAGGGACTCGGCTCTGCCCGGGCAGCACGTTTTATTGAAATATTTACACAGCTACCCCTCATCCCAGCCCTCGTCTTTTCCACATCGAATATCAAAACGCTTGGGTGCCGCGACCGGAAACCG